CACCTCGCCCCTGATGTGACCAGTACTTGGTTGGGATTAAATTGTTTTTTATTAATCTTGGCCTTGGTCATTTTTCAAGGAGCTTTGTGAGAGACCAAGCCCTTTTTTGAGGGACCAACCTACAAGGATCAGTCTTTGACTAAAATAAACCCTTCCCTGATTAAAAAAATATATATATTTTCATTAGAATATGAGCAATAGGTTTACTGTAAAGCAAAGACTGTACTACCATTTCTAAGTTTGTAATGTTTTCAAAATTGTAACTTGATTATAATTTAATATGAACAATTATAAAATTAAATGAAAATTTGTCACATGTAAATATTTGTTATGCATATGAAAGGTAGAACAGGAAGCTCAGAAATTGTTAAAAATATGACTGGTAATACAGTATAATCATAAAAATCAGTGTGTCAAGAAATAAACTTTCACAGCTTCCACAATACAAAAATATAGCAGTTTAACTCCTATTTTGTTTTGAAAGAAGTAATATGTTCACGTGATAAAAGAGAAAACTTTAGCTGTACAAAAATAAATTATGTAGCTTGTGACATACTTCCTTCATAACTGCCAAGTGGCATCCTATTTTCTAGAACTCACCACTCCTTAAAATATCTGGTTTTATTTAATTTGATTATTACTAGCCTAATTCTAATGAATGCAATTAAAATGCAGTACAGCAATTTGAGATTTCATATCCTGCCGTCTGTTCTTACAGGCAGTAAACAGGGATACAGCCTCTGCAGACAGTCTAGGGTCTTCAGAAAAATTCATGAATTTCTTTGCCTACATTCTGTAATTTTAAAATAGAACAATAATGGTATATCTCTTATAAGTATGAGAATTCATTAAATTAGTATGCATAAGTTCAAAATTGTGCACAATAGTCACATCATGTTATTATTAGTCATAAGAGGAAACTGAAAGATATGAATCACATACCCAATTAACTGACTTCTTTTATCTTCAGCTTCCTTTCCCAAATTTTTATTCATTTATGCAATTCATGGTTATTCTCTGTTAACTGTTATTATTTAAAATAGGATGTAACTGGTTTTTTTGATCCATTCAATTTAGATATATTTATTGACCATATACCGTTCAGTCACTCAGTCATGTCCAACTCTTTTCGACCCCATGAACCACAGCATGCCAGGCTTCCCTGTCCATCACCAACTCCCAGAGTCCACCGAAACTCATGTCCATTGAGTCAGTGATGACATCCAACCATCTTATCCTCTGTC